GAAAGAAAGAAAGAAAGAAAGAAAGAAAGAAAGAAAGAAAGAAAGAAAGAAAGAAAGAAAGAAAGAAAGAGGAAGAAAGAAATGGTTTGAATCCATTCCCAACCTGGGCATTTTAGCTTTCTTGGATATAAGGATAGAGTAGAGAAAGCCTGAGTACCTACTGATCCCATGAAAGAGTTATAATTCTGGAAGTAAGATGTTCTATATCCGTGATGGCGAACCTATGGCACACATGCCAGAAGTGGCACGCAGAGCCATTTCTGCCGGCATGCGAGAGGTCGCCTGGAAGAGCCCCACTGCAAATCCACACGTGCGCCACCACCCAACAGCTGATTATCAGGTATTTGGTACGCATGTGCGGGGGGCAGGGGTGCACAGGAGATGCTATAAACCACTTAGAGAGGGCTGTGAAGCACTGTGAAGGGGTATATAAGTCTAAGTGCTATTGCTATTGCTAGATCAGGGGTCCCCAACTCCTGGGCTCTGGCCTGATCCAGCATTATGGCCCATTTGGAACTGAGCTGTGCAAACGGTGGGCAAGTGCACGAGTGTCGAACTAGTGCATGCACACACAAAGTTCCATTGTGCAAGTGGGGTGCGTGTACACCCACTGCTTGTGCAAATGGAGCTTCATGCATGCTTGCCCACATTCCCCGCCCACCCACCACCAGCAACGCTGGTCCATCTCCAAAGAGGGACAGGATAAGGTTGCTTAAAACCTTGAAGAGTTGTAGGACAGGGATGGACTTTTTTTTGCCACAGTTGCGAAGTGAATCTGGTTCTCCAGCTGACTTTGCTTTTTGGAAGCTAGCTGAGAAGGTTACAAATGGTGATCATATGAACCTGAGATGCTGCAACCATCACAAATGCATGTCAGTTGTCAAGCACCTGAATGTTGGTCATGTAATTATGGAAATGCTGAGATGGTTGTAAGTCCAAGAGCCAGTTGTAAGTCCCTTTTTGGGGGGCCATTGGAAATTCATATAGTCACTAAATGCATAGTTATAAATTGAGGACTATCTGTAGGGTCCCTAATACCAAAAGGCTCCTCAGGCCTGAAATAAGATTTCTCCAAGGCATCTGCAACAAAACCAAAACACTGTGGCATCCTACTGTTCCCACATCCAAAGATATCTCTTGGGTGACCCATGTTCCCTCTCCCTAAGTAGGGATATAGTAGAAGAACAAGCACCATCAAGAGAGAGCCCTTGCTGAAGCCGGCCACCATCCTGCCCAGTGTGTGGAGCAATATAGTGCATGTTGGTGTCTCTTCTCCCAGCCCTATCAGTTCCTGCTTGGAGTGTAGCTGTCCACTGATGCTGTCCCACAGGCTGAAAACACCCCGTTCAGATACAGTCACAATCACCAGCCTTGGTACAAACACAGTTCCACAGAGCCATTGGTCTGGAGGCTCAGCAGAGATCTGGAAAACGGGTACAGCTGTCTCCAGATGCCAAGCGCTGACCTAGGAGCAAGAGGAAAAACCCATTCAAGCTCTCTTTCCTTTTTTAATCCTCTTCTCTGTACAGCACAATTTTCTTTCTTATGAATAAAGAGCAACAGCTCTTCTTTATTGTGTCTAAATTTAAGGAGATACATTAAACTCAAGACATTTGAGCCGCAGTCCCAGAAAATCTGCTAACTAAATCAATAATCTGTTAGAAGATTATTTTCTATTATAGCAAGTAGACTAAAAAGAATGTTAAATGAGCATATATATGAAGATCAAAATGGATTTCTCCCGACCAGACAAATCAGGAACAACTTAAGAATAGTACTAGATGTCTTAGAATTTTACGAAGCCCACCCCAAAAACAAATTGCACTTATGTTTTTAGATGCAGAGAAGGTCTTTGATAATTTAAATTGGCAATTTTTAATCCAAAAAATTTATAAATTTTGAAAAAATTTGAAAATACTATAACTACCATTTATGATACACAACAGGCTAATATTATAATAAATGGGGAATATACCCGCCCAATAAAAATAGAAAAAGGAGTCAGACAGGGCTGCCCACTCTCACCCCTGCTCTTCATATTATCATTAGAAACATTACTAATGCGAATTAGACAGAACCCAGACATAAAAGGATTAAAGGTTAAGAAAGAAGAATATAAGTTGCAAGCGTTTGCGGATGGTATGGACTAAAATTGATGAATGAATTAGAACAATTTGGAGCAGTAGCAGGACTTAAAATTAATAGGAAGAAAACAAAAGTAATGACTAAAAATTTAACAGAAAAACAGAAAATAGAACTAGAAGAAGTTATGGGAATACAAGTGATAAAGAAAGTTAAATACTTAGGAATATGGTTGACAGCACATTGTAAGACACTTAAGGAAAATAATTACGATAAATTGATGCAACAGGTAAAGAAGGATTTAGAAACATGGGGCAAGCTGCAACTGTCATTATTAGGCAGGATTGCTGCTATTAAAAGAACATTCTTCCAAAATTCCTATATATATTTCAGACGATCCCAATCAAAGTACACAAAAAATTTTTTGAAGAACTTAATAAAATAACTGTAAAATTTATCTGGCAAGGGAAAAAACCTAGAATAAATTTAAAGGCAATGCAGGATATGAAGAGCAGGGGAGAGCTGGCACTTCCAAATTGGGAGTTGTATTATAGTGCAGCCTCTTTAGTACGGTTGAAGGAATGGTGAATTTAACCAATAAGAGAATATTATTCTTAGAAGGCCATGAGTTGCAGAGGGGGTGGCATGCTTTTTTATGGGATGTAGGGAAAACTAGCCAGAAATATTTTCACAGACACCTAATCAGAGACTCATTATTAACTAATTGGAAGAAAGTACGGAAAAAACACTATTTAAAAATACCAATTTGGATTTCAACAATGGAGGCGATGATTTACCCAAATAATCTGGATATCACTAAAATGAATAAATATAAGGATCTATTGGATACACAAGGAAATTTGAAATCGCGGCAAGAACTTCAAGAGCAGGGACTAAAAATTGATCAGTGGGCATATCTTCAAATTCCAAGTAGATATAAACAGGACAAGAAAGAATTCAGAATTAACAATAAACTCCAGCAATTAGATAAAATTTTATTAGGATCAGGCAAAAAAAAATATAACAAAATTTTATAATTATTTATTAGAAGTAGAATTAGAAGAAGAAATTGTAAAAGGGAACATGATAGCCTGGAGTAGGAATATAGGACGTAGCATCACCATTACAGAATGGGAAAAGGTCTGGGGTAGAAATAATAAAATTACAAAATCGGTAGCATACAAAGAAAATGCCTATAAAATGTTTTATAGATGGCACCTTCCTCCTTCGAGATTAGCGAAGATGCACCCCAATATGAGTCCGAATTGCTGGAAATGCAAAAAAAAAGAGGGAACTTTTTTCCATATGTGGAAAATATGTCCTGTACAGAAGCTCAAAAATATTGGCAGAAAATTAGAAATTGGCTGGAAGGAATGACAAGATAACAGATCGAATTCAAACCAGAGTCCTTTCTGTTAGGGATCTTTGATAAACAAATATCAAAAAAAAGTGAAATATATGATAATGCACATTTTGACAGTGGCCAGATTGGCTTTTGCACAATGTTGGAAGCAGCCTCATGTTCCATCAGAGGAGATGATCATTCAAAAAATTTCAAGTTGTGCAGAAATGGACAAATTAACTTTGGCATTAAAAAATAAAGACACTTTAATATACTACAACAGCTGGAACTGCTGGTGCAAATGGATAGACCAAAGATAGACTTTACACTAAAAGGCAAAAGAGGATAGGATAAATCCATAGTAGTGATACACAGATATATGTAAGGATTAGGTGTGTGTATATGGCATAAAAGAAGGATAAAAAAGAGGTTTTACAAACTGTTGAAGATGAGAATGTTTTTAATTGTTTTCTATTTTTTTCTGTCTATTTTCTTCTCCCTTTCTTCTTTTTCTCTCTTTCATTTATGTATGTGTTGTTGGTTTGTTTTAATTGTAAAATCAATAAAATTTATTTAAAAAAAGAAGAAGATTATTCTGTCTTTAACTGCAGAGGTGGATACATAGATGTGCATTGTTGACTCCCAAATTCAATTTTGTCCACACAGCAAAGTTAATGGTATTTAATTTCATTGTACGAGGTGCAATGACAATAAAGTAAAGTAAATTAAACTAAAGAACCCATTCTTCTTCAGATGGTCTTAAGCTTCAACTTCCATCATTCCCAGATATAATGATCAATAGTTAAAAGTGATGGGTGCTGTGTCTGTTTCCATCTGGAAGGTCAGTCTTTCCCTACTCCCTCTATTATCCAAATAATACTCTTGAAAGCTTGTTAATGCCAATTCAGAGATTGTAGATTTGTTCCTGAGAATCTCACACAGATTTCTTTCTTTCTTCCTCTCCCCCTTCCCTTCCATTTCCCTCCCTTCCTCCTCCTTCTCCTCCTTTTCTCTCTCTCTCTCTCTCTCTCTTTCCTTCTCTCTTTCAGTAACTTTCTGAACGCTCAACCAGAATTTCCCTCCTGAATTTGGCTTCTCTTTGTGATCCTGATTCTCCAGAGTATTTCCTCTTCCAGATTATCCAGAGTATCCAACAAGATCAAAGGAAGCCTTACAATATTCTCAATATATTTATTTCATTACTTCCATGCCTCTGCCCTGAAGACCCCTGCCCGCATTTTGGACCTGCTTCATTGCTTAGCTGTCCCCTCCCCTCCACATGTGTGGTGGGTTCCATACCTCCAAACCTGATGCCCAGTATATCATCTGGTTCTTTTCATCAATATGCAACTGGCAACACTTCAACTCTCCAGGATGAACATTGTGGATAGAGAAGTCCTCCCTGGCAGATTCCAGACGCCACAAGCGCAGCGTCCGATCCATGGCCACCGAGGCAGCACGGGAACCTTTCCCAAATAATTTCACACATTTCACTTCAGCTGCAAGACAGAAAAGATGGGGCAAGGAAGATCCTCAGAAGATCACCCAGCATGCTCACAAATCTGATCGCAGTTCTGGTGGAGCAACCTACAGATCAAGATGAAGAACTTGTAGTCTTTGTACTTACAGTCCCTTGTAGTTTGAAACGGAACTTATAGCTCAGTTTCAAAAAAAACCTCTCTATATATGAGCAATTCAGAATCAGCCAAAGGAGGTGTATCTCTTTCTTGGCATCCTTCCACCTAGGGACGGAAAGTGACTGGAAGATGTCAGATTGACAAATGAAAAAAGAATGAAGGGGAAGCTTCAAAAATTGTCCATTCAGTATTTTCACCAGCACTTTTGGCTCTGCTCCTGTCTATATACTGAAGTTGTATCTCCTTCTACCCAATGGGGAGGAAGTCAAAATTCAGTCATGTGGTTGTGATTGCCACCTTGACTTTTTCTAACCCCTCACTCTATAGACAATCCTGTTCCCTAAGCTAAAAGCCTGTGGCTTAGTTTCAGTGGTGGGATTCAAAAAATTTTTACTTCCGTTTCTGTGAGCGTGACTTGGTGGGCGTGGCAGGGCAAGAATACTATAAAATCTCCAGTCAGTGGGAGTATTTGCCGGTTCTCCGAACTACTCAAAATTTCCACTACCGGTTCTCCAGAACTGATCAGAACCTGCTGAATACCACCTCTGCTTAATTGGTAGAATAAAAGATGGGGACTGTAGCAAACAATTTATAGAAATATTTCCAATTCCAGTATACTGAGTAGCAGACAGAAAGAAGGCAGTGGACAATGGACCCCATAATTTTATTTATCTGCAAATACGTGATTTGCTGACGCACATCAGACTTGGGATTAATCATTCATATAAATCAAAGTTCTGATGGGTCTTGAAAACCACTCTCAAGAGTTTCAGAACTTCTAAAGAAAATCTAAGAACAGCTTTCTGTTGGGCAGAAATGCCCAAGACAGAAACTTTAGGGTTTTTTCTTCAATGGATAGCCTTAGAAAGTTACTGAGTCTTGCCAGCTGAATTAACTCTGCCCTGCGGCTAACAACGTGTACCCATATCGTATAGTGAATTCCTCTCAAAAGTGCTTTAAAAAGACAACTGGACTTCCTTGGGGTTTTTTTCCTTGAAAATATTTCACTTTAGGTCCAAGAAACTTCTTCAGTTCTGAACTGAACTAAAAGTCCAGTTGCCTTTGGAAAAGTGCTTTGGGGACAACCATGAGCTGAATAATTGAAAAATCTTCAAAGACCCACTGAATTCATATCACTTGCTTAATTCTAAAACAAATCCCTGTATTCATGTAACATGCTGTGCCTTGCCCACACAACTAATTTTTTTGATGACCTGGTGCACACCACGGGCTAATAAGGCAACAAGGGTTGTTGTATTCCCACAACATGCTGAATCACAACCTAAGGTATCGTAGCCTAGCCTAATGTGTGAATTGAGCCCAGTCACTGAGATGATCTCCAAAGAGTTTACTGCTAGTTCACATAAATAACCCTGATCTGCTTCCTGTGTCATCGTAACTGGGATCAATTAGAACCCCGGATGGAGGTTGGCTGTAAAAATGGCCTTTTGGAGCCTCACCAGAGTGTCCTATTAGGACATGTTGCACAGTAAAATCTTCCATGTCCCAAACGATCATAGACCCATCCAGAGAACCAGCCAGAAGCAACTTTTGGTCAAAGTTGAATTCCAGCACTGAAGTGCCTGCAAAGAGAAAATAAGAGGGGTGGATTTGAGGAATTAACTTGATGGATAAGGTTTGATTCAAGGGAAGGGAATGTCTGGTCTCTTCTGTGAACCACAGGTAGTGAATAGCCTGCCTGAGTGTGCCAAAGAAGATATTTTTCCAAAAGGCAACTGGGCTTTCTTGTTTTTTTCCTCCTTGAGAATATTTTGCTTCTTATCCAAGAAGATTTCTTCAGAAATGAAGGCATTTGGGACAACCATGACATGGATGGTTGAGAATCTCCATAGACATTCAACCTGCCTAGGATTTATTCTGGCACCCTGTGTGTTTCCTGGTACTGTGATTAAATCCTCCCTCCTATAATTTTTTCCACAGGTTGTTCCCATAACAGTTCTTGGATTGGATGGAAAGTGGACGGATCCAAGATCATCCAGTGAGTTTCATGGACTTTAGTATTCAAAGATTTCTCCACTCTAATCAAGGCATCTGGGGGATTCATTTAAGTGGGCATCCATTTGGCCCCTATGCAAAGAGTTTGCTATACAATGCTTTTTTCCCCTAAGATAAAGGGGGGAAAGAGGAACAATAATTATGACTTGTTAAGCAAACGGAGTATTCTACCTGCAGGAAATCCAGGCAGTGTTTTGCACAGAGGTCCTCCAGGTGGATGGAAAAATCCAGAGCGAGGGATGAGGACAGGCTGGGTCCAAGCACCAAACCAGCTTTCACATTGCCCACACATATTACCAATGATCTTAGGGTAGGATTGCCTGAGGAAAAACAGCCGTGCCAATATCTCCGTGTAGATCATACTCACTTCTGTAGAGGGAGAAAGATAGGAGATGTGGAACCATCTTCTGTTTGTGTTCTGTTAGCTAAGAAAGAGATTCTGATTTTAGTGAAAGCCTGGTCCATCTCAGTAATTGTCCCAAAAGTGCTTTTTCAAGAGGCAACTGGACTTTCTTGTTTTTCTTTGAAGACATTTCACTTCTCATAAAAGAAGCTTCTTCAGCTCTGATCGCATGGTGGGGAATGGATTTATATTGTTCTCTCTCTCTCTCTCTCTCTCTCTCTCTCTCTCTCTCCTTCCATTTCCCACCATCCAGTCAGAGCTGAAGAAGCTTCTTGGATGAGAAGCTAAATGTCTTCAAAGAAAAACAAGAAAGTCCAGTTGCCTCTTGAAAAAGCACCTTTGGGTAACCATCACCTGGATGACTGAGAATCTTCATAGACATCTCACAGGTGGGATTCAAAATATGCTGATGACACTGATCCAAGAATAAAGATGTGGGCTGAAGTGGTAGATATGAGCAGACAGAAAACTGTGATTCTTTCCTCCACCAGATCAATGGTAGTTCATTGATCTGGTGTGCAGAACTTTAAAAGAATAACAGAATAACAGAGTTAGAAGGGAGATTGAAGGTCTTCTAGTTCAACTCCTTGCTCAAGTAGGAGATCCTATACCATTCCAGACAAATGATCGTCCAATCTCCTCTTAAAAAATCTCCAGGGTTCGAGCACCCACAGTTTCTGGAGGCAAATTGTTCCACTCATTGATTGTTCTCACTGTCATTTTTGCTTAGTTCTAGGTTGCTTATCTCCTTGATTAGTTTCCATCCGTTGCTTCTTGTCCTGCCTTCAGATTGACCCTCCCCCTCTCCTTTGTAGCAGCCTCTTAGATATTGGAAGTTTATTGGATATTGAATTTTGTGCCTATTAACTTCAACACAAAGGCTAGCCACATCCGTTTTAATTAAACTGACTGCTGTGGAATCAAATATAGAACCCAAAGCAAATAATCAAGGATTACTGCAATGTTCATTAAGCAGCATTACTGACAAAGGCTCCATAAAACAAAGGGATGCACTCTTATTTATATATCGCAGAAGGCAGGGGAGACTAATGCATTAGTCACAGATGCTGTAAACATACAGGTAAAGTATCTCAAGTTACTAGAGATAATGGAACTCAGATTACTTCCTGCACCTGTTTTCCTTCAGGAACCAAAAGGAAAGCAATAAAACAGGGAGGAAAATATCTTCCTTAAATCAAGAAGAGGGGGAACTTTGGGAATATCAGACACCAAAAAGAAAATCATTTCCCGTTGCATCTTATTATTCTAATAAGATAAATGTTAGTCTTATATCTCTAAATATCAACTTGATCTAATTGATTCTATTCATTGAAGAACAGATTTTCCCCACACTGCCGTTGGCAGCATTTTTGACTAGAGTAGGAGCTGTGGTGGCGCAGTGGTTAGAATGCTGTACTGCAAGCAAACTCTGTCCTTAGCCAGGAGTTCGATCCTGACTGGCTCAAGGTTAACTCAGCCTTCCATCCTTCTAAGGCTGGTAAAATGAGGATCCAGTTTGTTGGGGGCAATACATTGACTTTGTAAACTGCTCTATGGGGCGAAATGTAAGTCTAAGTGGTATGCTACTGCTAGACTGGGCAAGGTTCTTGGGAGTCACTCCTAAGCTACAAGGTTGACAGTGATTATCTACCTCCGTGGATCCGTTTGCTATCCACAAGAGGCTGCAGAAGCAGGAAAGTCTCTTGCAGGAGATGCAGCTCTGGGCAGTTGATCTGGGCAAGCACATGGCAAAGTCAGCAGTCAGGCTCTCTATGCCAGTGGAAGTTGCTCTGCAGATGATCCAATTCATGTTCCCTGATGGGAAAAGAAGACAGTGGGAAGACATGCAGACAATTGAGAACATCAAAAAAGTAAGGAGGGCAAGGAAGACCTATAGGAGGAAGTATCAAAAATCAAAGAGACCTTGACTGTTCTGTATTGCTACATTAGCATTCTTGTAACCCCTTGTCTTGATTGGCCAGGACGCACAGCGCTCGGATTGGCTGAGTGAGCTGCAGCGATTGGCCTGTTGCAAATCGCCCGCGATTGGAGGAAACCGATCGCGGGGGATTCAAAGCGGTGTCATTGGCCGCAGCTGGCAAGACAAGTTCAATATAAGCCGCCACCGATCTGAGGGAGAGCCGAGCCGATCTCAGAACTAAATAAAGAGCTTATAAGAGTCACTGAGTCTCACGTCTCCTTCTTGTAATCGGTGAACTTGACATTGACTAATACGGTCAGGATCCTAGGATGTAGCAAGTGAAAACAAACAAAAGCAAGTGGAAAATAGTCCACCTAGATAAAAGTATTTCTTTCTGATTCTAAAGAGAGACTTCCAGTTAGTAGTCTCCCAAGTTATGCTGCAATATGGTTGGATGTAGTTCAGTGCATGCATTGCATACTGTACATTGCACTGTTTGACTTACTTGTGACTTGTTTAATCATTTATAATTATCTAGGTTATGCACAAAATGCTAAATCATAAACTGTATAAGCTTAAACTAGACAAATCGCATCATACAAATAGCATGTTTGTGTGAAACTAGACAATTATGGTTTATTTAATAAGTTATATTTGTAGACCAGTATGATATGTGAATCAGGTTATCATGAGTCTTCATGAAGTTGTTGTCAAACAGCATTACATTTACATGAAAAATGCTCAAATAGGGCTGAATTATCTAGGCAGGTTGATCTATTTTATATCTATTTAGCAGTGTTCTGAACAAGGAATGCTAGGAAGGAGGCCATGTTAAACTACTTCTGAGACACCTTGCCAAAAAAAAAAACCCCACCATGCAGGGACTTGTTTAGGCCGTCTCTGAGAATCAGACACAATTTAAGTTATTGTTAAAAAGCAATGCTTTCGACAGTTCAACACATTTCGGATAAACTGGGGCTTCTTTAGGGACATTATAATTATTCACCCTCTTGATTTTTTGGAAGACTTGAAAACCTGGCTCTGTTAGTTGGCCTGGGGCTCCAATTGGGGAACATCACTATGGAGGTGGTTAATACATTAATAACAAATCCTACCTCCTTTCTCTGCTCATCCTACTTTCTCCCTCCCCATCTTTTAGTTATAGTATATTCTTGGACTATGCTACATTTTGTATTGCATATATGGTACTTCTGAAGAAATATAATGGGACATAGATTTTTTTTTCCCTTACAGGAAATTACCAGCCATCACCCCTTCTTTTCTTGAGTCACTATTTGCTCCTTGTTTGGTCTATCAAGGCAGTAAGTATTCACACAATGTGTAGGAAACTTTGTGGAGTGTAGGTCTTTGGGGCTTAAAATATCAGGAACTCTTACCCAAAATATCTCTTTGCAACTCCTCAAACAGACCTGCCTGTAGTAAATGGAAGGGCAGTTCACTCAATTTCCTCTGGTTTGTAACGATGCCAGAGAACCAGAGAGGTTGAGGAATCACCTGAATAAAAGAAATCAACATTTGACTTTGACTTTTCTAAAATCCACACTAATTTCTTATTTACAATGAATCAAATCAAGGCACACTTTACAACTATTAAGTATTGGTATAAGCAATGCAAATGACTGTTCTGTTACTTTCTTCTGACGGTGAGTTTATGTTGTCCTGTATCATGGTTTCAACCTTCAGCCTCCAAATTCTTTATTTTGAGGTGGCTCAGAGCTCCTTTATAAAGGTAAATATTAAATGCACATTTGTAGATGATGGCTAGCATTTTGTAAAATGGTGGGAAACAGATTAAAAATATAACATGTCCCCTGAAATAATATTCAGATGTTTAAAAATGTAAAGAATAACCTTCCCAAAATAAAAACCCAGAAGAAAATCATAGAAAAGCTCAGCTTTGTTTATAAAATTTATTGGCTGTCCATCTTACCTCAAGGAAACTTTGGGTGGCTTTCAGTCATAAAAGATAAAAGCTATATAAACTTAAAACATAAATCAGTTAACACAAAAAGCCAAACTCTATGCAGCCTAATTAAATGCTGGGGAGGGCAGGAGCAGGATGGAGGTTTAATCTATTAATCACATCCACTGTGATGCTCCTCCATTACTTATGTGCAAGATACAGGTGCCAAAGATTTGACTCTCCAAGTTATCTTAAATTCTTCTTAAAAAGAAATAAAATGCCCTCTGCACCCTCAAATGTTCCCCACCTCTATTCCCTATAACTCCTGTCTTGATTTATTTCACTTCATTATTTAATCTGAGAATAAAGCCCACCAAACTTTTTTTGGGCATAATTCTGAGTAAAATTTATGATGCTGCCCTACAATATCTCCTCTGATTTCATCTCTCTCCAATCTTCGTTGGCATTACAATTCCCAAAATTATGGCAGATAAAATACAGAAAGAAGCTTCAGTCATACAATTTCTACCAAACCCACCAAAACCAAGCCATTTTCCAGAAAAATTGAGCTAACATTGACATTGTTTTCCATAACCTTTACTGGATTTCTCTTCCTTCTTCTCCGGGAAGAAGTGCTCCCAGGAAGTACTGCTGTCTTGGGTCTCCCAACCATCATCTCTCCATCCATCCATCCATCCATCCATCCATCCATCCATCCATCCATCCATCTCTTCCTCAGTTTCCAGAAGTTCACCTTCCTGTCAAAGCTCACAGGCTTGTTGGAGGAGGGCAGCTGGATGGGTTTCTTCATGCCCCAGCTCCAAGTTCCCCTGAAGTAATCTGCCAGGAGCAGGTGACGCTTGGTCCTTTCCTCTGGCACAGACAGGTAGCGTTGCTCCACAGCATCAGCCAACTCCCTGCATGGGGGGAGGAAGAGATCCATCAAAGCTGACAGCTGCTTTTTCACCACCTTAGCAGCCTTGGAAAAAAATGGATGAGAACTGACCTGTGGGCAAAATCCATCAGCGCAAAGCCATCCGCCCACCGGTCCTCCAGCCACTGGGCCAGGTCCTGGTATAAGTGAGCCCATAGTAGGGGTGGAAAGCGGAGGGTCACCTTGCTTGGAGGAGGATGAAGCCAATAAATCTCAGTGAGAACCTCATTGTCGAGGGACAAGATATCTTTTTGCTCTGCTTCTGAGAGCCCGTGTCTGTGGAAAGGGCGGAGGGAGAAGCAGACAGGCAGGCCTCTGTTATTTCTTTCTTTCCTTGGCAGATCATTGAGGAGGGGAATGGGCAGATTGCTAAAAATAATTCTTTCTTAGCGCCCTTCTTTATAATGACTACAGATAGTCCTTGACTTACAACCATGTTCAAAATCATAGTCTAAGTGCCAGAGTTCACTGTAACAACATAGCCAAAAAGGCATTAAGAGTTGCCAACCTAATCCTGCGTAGCTTTTTCCTCAGTAATATTGTACTACTGACTAGAGCATACAAAACATTTGCTAGACCAATTGTGAATACAGTTCATCTGTCTGGAATCCGCATTGCATATCGGACGTTGATGCAATCGAGAGAGTCCAGAGATATTTCACAAGAAGAGTCCTCCACTCCTCTACTCGCAACAGAGTACCTTATGCCACCAGACTTGAAAATTTAGGCTTAAACAATTTAGAACAGGCTTGTCCAACCTGCGGCCCAAGGGCCGCATGCGGCCCAGGTCACCTTGTAATGCGGCCCAGTGCCCACCCCAACCTTCGTGCCAGAGCCAGCGAGGAGGAGGAGGAGAAGCAGGCGTGAGGCAGGGCGAGGCGAGCGCCAGGCCAAGCAGCAACAGAAAAAGCAGGCGCCGTCAGAGTGCCACCTCCTGCTGTTGCCACCACCGCCATCGCCGCCACTTCTGCCCCCGCCGCTTCTGCCCCCGCTGCCACTTCTGCCCTTGCCGTCGCTGCCCCCGCCACCTCCGCTTCTGCCCCCGCCACCGCTGCTGCTTCTGCCCCCGCCGCCACTGCCCCCGCCACTGCTTCTGCCCCCGCCGCTGCTGCTGCTTCTGCCTTCCAGTCCTGCCTCATCCAGCCGGGCCATTTGCAGGAGGAGAGGTAGGCGCGAGGCGGGCGAGCTTTCCCCACCCCCCCCCCCCCCCGCAAAATTTGGCCGGAAAATAAACCATGATAAAAAAAAACCGTGATAAAAAAACTGTGATAAAAAATAAATAATTTTTAATAAATAATTAATAATAAAAATATCTCACTAACTTCATTTCCAAATAAATTTAATATGTTAACTATGTTTTCTATGGGTTTTTTGCATGATCAGGTATCGTTACTGTTATTTTATTTTATGTGCGGCCCAAACCAAATTTTTATCTTCTAATGTGGCCCAGGGAAGGTGAAAGGTTGGACACCCCTGATTTAGAACTATGCCGCCTTCGGTCCGACCTAAGTGTAGTACACAAAATTATCCATTGCAAAGCCCTACCCATCAATGACTTCTTCAGCTTCAACCACAATAATACATGAGCACACAATAGATACAAACTCAAGGTAAACAGCACCAAACTTGATTGCAGGAAATACGACTTCAGCAACAGAGTGGTCAATGCCTGGAATACTCTACCGGACTCTGTGATTTCTTCCCCAAACCCCAAAAACTTTAACCTTAGACTCTCAACTGTTGACCTCACTCCATTCCTAAGAGGTCTGTAAGGGGTGTGCATAAGCGCACCAATGTGCCTACCATCCCTGTCCTAATGTTCCCTTTTATTCATATCCATTTCATGTATTAATAATCATGTTTATACTTATATTTGTTACCTAATACATGCTCAACAAATAAATAAATAAATAAATTGTAAGGGCCTCAAAAAAGCGAATGAGACAACTTGCCACAGCCAACTTACAACCTGGTCCCTCACACTAACTACCATTGCAATATCCCTATGATCACATGATCAAAATTTGGCACTTGGCAAACAGCATGTATTTATGAATGGTTGTAGCATCCCAGGGTCATGCGATCTCCATTTGCAACATTCCCAGATAGCTTCCAACAAGTAAAGTCAACAGGGGATTTGTTTAATGATTACATGATTCACTTAACAACTGCAATGATTCATTTACTGACTGCAGCAAAAAAAGGTTGCAAAATCGGGCACAACATGCTTAACAACTTCCTTGCTTAGCAACAGAAATGCTGGTTCCGATTGTGGTTGTAAGCTGAGGACTACCTGGACTTGTTTTGAGGTATCTCTACCATAGAACTGCAAGTGATTGATTGGGTAGCAAACAAAGGCTTGCTGGAAGAAAATTGTTTTCTAGCTTTCTCCTTGTCTGGTATTGATGAAGACTTTACTAAGCTAATATATTGTAAGTAGGATAGATAGATAGATGGATAGATAGATAGATAGATAGATAGATAGATAGATAGATAGATAGATAGATAGATTCCAATAGATGATAGATGTAGACAAAGACACATAGACATAGATAGATATTCTAAATGTAACTGAGGTGGAACATGTGAATTTTTAATGTTCTCCACTGAAGTGAAGAAAAATTGGATGAACAATTGATCTCAGGTTGCCTGGGGAAATTCTTGGATAGTTTCTTAATTCTAGGACCCTATAGAAGAGACTATAGAGAGCAATGTCCTCAATAGCTGCCCAGAGTCATTTTGGATAGTGAGATGGGATAATAAACAAACAAACAAATACTACCTTCCCTTGGGATTTAATGGAAGTATGAAACACAAAGGAAGGTTAGAAACTAATGGCAAGAAATTGGACAGTGATAAATAGGATGTACTGTATAACCTTCCAAACTTTTATCATTAAACAAAATGCTAAAAGTCACTATATCCCACCCCTGTGGATTTTATCTGGAATTCTGTTTTCCCTCCATAGAACTTGGACAATTTCATCAAGCTACCACTAACACTCCCCTTTATTGTCAATTGTATCCTTCTATTTCAGGGCTGTCAAACTCGCAACCCATGGGCCGGATGCGTCATGCACCGGCCACACTCATGCCCGGTTTAGCGAAAGAGAAAAAAGTCCCAATACGTCACGTGATGCTGCCATGATGCTGTGAGTTTGACAGCCCCGTTCTGGTTTGACTTCTGCCAATGGCGACACAAGTATTTGTACTCACCGGGCACAGGCAAGATAGCCAAGTACATGTGCTACTAAGACAGAGCCATGCACCATCTCCAGGTGGTCACACAAGCGATGCGCAAACTCCGAGACTGTAGATGATATGGCTGGTGCTGCAAGTTGAACGTATGAAGTCCAACGCTGGGCTTGTCTTATGGCCAGGGCTACTGACAGAGCATACCCACCTTTTGCAAAGCTTTGCAGGAACAACTCCTGCTGGGTGGGCCTTAGTGTACGTCCTGTGGATGCCAAAGTTTTGGAGAGAATCTCCCCCACTTGCTCCTGAGAAAGAGGCCCCATCTCAAAATAATCCTCTGAAGCCCCAGTCATCTTCTGTAGAACTTCACTTTCTTTCTGCAGCATAGTAAGAATCATGTGTGTCTTTGGAGGACAGATTTTTGGCAACCAGAAAGCTCTGTGAGCATTTCTAGGTGTGTGTAGCTGCTCCATTGAATCAAGGAGTAGGACAAAGGACCGGGTGCCCTGGCAAGAAGCTGAAGAAAGCAGGTGGTGGAAGAGCAGGCCTAGATTGCCAACTGGCTTGGTATAAGGGAAGCCCATAGCTAAGCAAACTTGTTGGCAGAGGCTGTGGAGAAGGCTGTTAGGTGTGGAACTATCCTGTGAACTTCCCAGCAAACGAAGGATTACCACCGTTTCCTGATCCAAGGTGGTTTGTATGGCTTCACTTAAATGGTACAACAGGGCTGTTTTGCCACATCCTGAGGGTCCATAGATGACAAGTGGGGAATGGGCCTGATGGTGGTTCCATTTAATGCGTTGGCAAATGAGACCCAGCAGGTCCTGCTGCCAGCAGAAAGCCTGGCTGTGTTTTTGACCAAGGGCCATGTGATGAGTGAGCTCTCGAATCAGCTCAGGTGGCTTCCCAAGATTTTGTTCTTGGAATCTCAGGCTCCTGAGCACATAATGGTTGGTGGCAGCAATAAACTGGTCACAGAAATCCTTCAAATACTTGGGCCAGGGCTTCTGCCGGAAAGACCTGGGTTCTACCACAGGTGGAATCCTGTGAACCTTAATCAGCTCAGGATACCTGCTTACGATGCTTGCCTTCAGATCTGCTAACTGTTGTGGTTCTTCAGGGTGCAGCTCATCTCCAACATCATCTGTGCCCAGTAGTAAGTCCACTCTATCTGATATGGGCATGTCCACTTCTGTGAAGAATATCATGGTACTTTGGCCATCACATTCACCTGATCTGAAGAGGCCAGCCTCAATCTCCTGAAATATCTCTATAAAAGATTGAGAAGAGATGAATATGGGATTCAGAAGGGGAATCACATAGGCCAAAGCAACTACTAGAATTAAGGATGCCCTGGACAAGATTTGCAGTGCCTGATATAGAACCACAGTGAAGTTGGTTTAGCTGCTCTCTGCAAGTCTTGTCTCCTCATTGAAACTCCTCTTTCGCTTGCCCTTGCCCCAGTCTTTTAGTTCCTGTCAACATGATCCATCTTTTGTCAGCAGCCACGTTTACCTAACTTGCCAGTGGGAGGTTTCAATGAAAGGCTGAAGGACAGGTTGCTTTCTGTGTATGAAGATCACGCACCACATTGGTGGTGATGGCAGCTAGCTTTTCCTTCCCTGCTTCCACTGTTTAATTGCTTTAATAGCAGCAGTCCACCAAGGAAGTCCCATTCTTGGCAGCTGCAGTGGTTTATTAGGAGAGAGGGGGTATAAATCATCAATGATCACGATGGAGACCAGTACTTCTATTGATAAGCAATGTTAAGTGAGATGTGGCTGATTTTACAATCTTTTTGACATAATTGTTAGGTGAATCACACAGTGGTTGGGGAAATCTGGCTTTCCCCATTGACTTGGCTTGTTGGAAGCCCCCTGGGAGGGATGCAAATGGCAATCCCATGACTCAGGATGCTGCAGCCATTGTAAATACATGCTGGTGCTGGTTGCCAAGCACCCAGATTTTGATCATGTGACTGAAGACACTGAGAGAGTGTGAGGACCAGTCATAGAGCACGTTTTTCAGTGTCATTGTAACTTCGAACAAATTAAACAAAAGTTTATAAGTTGAGGACTACCTGTGCATTTTTTAAGGCTCAAGAATGAGACACCAAGCTTCTATGACGAAACCTGGAAGTTTAAAATATCTAGATAATATGGTTCTACTTTTGCAACTTTTAGTGGGCTTTAACAAAGCAAAAATAATGGCTTCATAAAAGGATGATGGCTTTGCAGCTAAGAAGATTTTCCATGCATGTCTAAAAATGAGGACTGTGGATGTCCTGTGAATTTATTTGTTATTCTTCTTTTGCCTGTGAGAAAGAAGGAAGCAAGGGGAATGTTTTTACAATGTGCTTAGCCATAGCTCAGAGTGGGACACTGACTAAGTTACATTTTCTGTGTTTTCCTGTTGGCTCAAAGTGATCTCTGATTGTTGCTTGTGTTTTAAAAGCAATAGGGATGAAAATAATTACAGGATGATTTCAAAGTCCTTCTGAAGGGTAGGGGAATGATAACAATGGCAACATAGAAGTGCTGTCATTTTGTCCAAAGGAAAGAAAAGATGTGAAGCAACAGGAAGGACATTTGCTACATAACAAAATAAAACAAAAGAGGAAAAGACAGATGGGGACTGATATTAGAGAATCTTTAAATGTTGTGGATCCATGTGAGTTTAGGACAACTTGGTGTGGCCAGCTCACCACCACCAAGTCACCACGGTCAACTCACCACCAAGTCATCGCAAGACAACTCAACTCGTCCAATTCACCACAAAGACAACGCACCAAGGGCAGCTGGAGGGATAGCCAGGCAGAATGGCAGCCAGGGGTTTCCCATCAGAGAGAGAGTCAGGCTGACTGGCAAGTGAGCGGGTGGACATAGTGCAGAGCAGCCGTGGTGGTCAGGGGCTTCTCATTTTCAAACCCCTGCCACTGCTACTACCACCACTGTAGTAAGCTCTGGGCCATTTGCAGTTCAATTCGTTCAATGGCTGCAATGATGTTTGGGCCGTTCATAACCCTGGTTGGTGGGGCAGGTGGCGGGGAGGTGATGGAGACTGGACATGTCCCGTTTTCACAGATCCCCACTGCTGCCATGGGCTGTTTGGCAGTGGTGGGGTTCAGGCTGTTTGGCAGCAGTGATGATGTGCAGGGCGGGTAGTGGGGAAGCACAGAGACTGGATATGTCCCATTTTCACACACACACTGCTGTTGCCGGTGAACAGCCTGAACATCGCCACTGCCAAGATGCTTACAGAGCAGTGTTGAGTATGAATATGGGACGTGTCTGAATGGCCCAAACACCACCACCACTGCCGAATGGACCAAACTCCAAGTGGCCCAGAGTCTAGACTTACGTGGAGAACCATCTATTTTGTTCAAATGGTACCTTAGGGTCCCAGCAAGGCATGCTAGAGGGAGACCCTTTATCTGAGAAGTATACCTGACTTGTGATAGTTCTGCAATTGCTCCCGGCTGATGAGCCCATACTTTTCTGCTTGGCAGGCGGCCCTACGGAGGATCAAGAGCAAGTCTTCCTCTGCGCCATCTGGGTCTGCCTGAGATGATTGTTGCAGAACATACACGGGAGGAATGGCGTTCTCATCCTTCAGGTACCTTCGGGCCAGAAGCTGTAAGGTCTTGGGCTCCTCCAGGAGTTGTGCTCTAATGGCCTCAAATTCCTGTTCCACAATGGTCAGAGGAGTGGAGCAGTGGCCGTAATCGTTTCCAAGCAGTGCCTGTAGCAAATAAGTTTTCTTAGTAATTCTTCTAAAGGTATAAGCTGGGATGATCTGAAAACCCAGGTTGCACCAAGGAGCTTTCTGGTCTCCATTGGGAACTTGTATGAGAAACTCCTTCTGGACTACTCCATATTCATAGCTGAAATTCCTTTTGCATTGTTTCTCCCTTCCTCCTGTTCCAGATATGAATCTCAACTGAATCCTCACAAAATGGGCCCTCTGCTACAGGTAATCCTCACCCACAGTTGAGCCCAAAATTTCTCTAGCTAGGTGAGACACAACCCTGATGCGGCCCTCAATGAAAATGAGTTTGACACCCCTGCTGTACAGGTAGCTCTTGACCTATGATCACAATTGAGATCAGGATTTCTGTTGCTAAGCAGGAGGTTGTGAAGTGAGAACAGCTTGCCCTCGGAAGTTGTGGGAGCGCCATCACTTAAGACCTTCAAGAAGAGATTCTGACAAGAGCCATTTGTCAGAAATGGTGTAGGGTCTCCTGCTTGGATGGGGGGGTTGGACTAGGTGACCTATAAGGTCCCTTCCAACTCTGATTATCTGCTATCTGAGTCTGTGGTTGTTAGGTAAATACAGCTTCTCCCTTGGACTTGGCTTGTCAGAAGCCAGTTGGAAGGTGGCAAATGGCGATCACTCTAGGATTCTGCAACCATCATAATGAATACATTCCAGTTGCCAAATGCCCAAATGTTGTTAGTATGACCGTGGTGATGCTATGACACACATAAGTGCTAGAGTTGGGCTTAAGTCAATTTGTTTCGAGTATTGTTCTAATTTTGAATGGTCAGCAAATGAATGATTGTAAGTCAAGGACTACCTGAGCCATCCTCCTCCATACCTACAATGTAAGAAGTAAAATAGCAGCAGTGTTATCTCTGATCATTCTTTGGCCCAGCAACTTCCATAAGCAGAAGGAATAAAATAAAGGTAGTACTTACAATGAAGCTGGAACTCACTGAAAGTTTCTGGCAGCGTTTGATTTCTTCTAAAGAGAGTTGGGTAGACATATGGTGGGTCTCCATGTGATCAAAGGTGCCCCATCTTAAATCAATAACCTAGAGTAGATTTTGGGATGGATCATAGAACCGGCTGGCAGACAACTTCATCTGGAAACATTTGTCCCCATTTTCATTAAATTAGATACAGTATATGCTATTACACAATTAAAGGGTCAGGTGATTACCAGAGATTGGCACGTTTGCAAGATAACAAACATTTCTTTGAAGAGCCTTGGTGGTGCAGTGGTTAGAATGCAGCACTGCAGGCTGCTACTACTGACTGCTGGCTGCCTGCAATTTGGCTCTTCAAATCTCACCAGGCTCAAGGTTGACTCAGCCTTCCATCCTTCCGAGGTGGGTAAAATAAGGACCCAGATTATTGAGGGGAATAGGTTGACTCTGTAAACTTCTTAGAGTGGGCTATAAAGCACTGTGAAGCAGTATATAAGTGCTATTGCTATTCTTCCAATTTTCTGTTCAGAGAAGGAAGATGCACTGTGATTTGTCAATTAGACCTCTTTGTATAAATCTGTTAGATCATGGAAGAAGAAGAAGGATGTACAAATGAAATTAACCACAACATTTTCAAGCATTGTTCAAATTAATTATACTGTTTTGATTCTTTTGACTATTGTGTTGTGAACATAAGCATATGTTCACACAAATTGCACAGGGATAAATCAAGAATGATAGCCTGACCCAACAGAAATTTTGGGAACTCACATGGCAGCGGGAGCTATCTTTAATGTCTTAGTAAGATTGCACTAACTCTGAACACAAGAGGTTCATCTTTTTCACTATCATCATAGTTATTAACTTACCAAAGAATAAATTTTCACAAATGCACTAATAAAACCCACAATTCTGGAGAACCCCAACCATAACAAACAACTCTCCAAGTTGAAAGCCAGTGTTCTGGACTTCCAGCTTACAGTGGAATCTTGGTGTTTGCTGATCTTGATGTCCTTCTTGCAAAGTTTCATTACCAAACCTAGTAACATCAATGCTTTGTTACAAAAGTTGGCTTAAAAGATGTTGTAGTGAAACATTTCCCAGATAAAAAAAGAACACAGGCTCAATGAACACCAAGTTTCCTATATTTCAATAAGCTGCAAATGTTCTCTACAACTGCTACTTCCAGCTTACCTCAAACATCAAGCCATGCTTTTGGCAGAAAACTTGCACTTCTGGATATGCCATCTCCATCAAGGCTTCCCTTTCTGCTGCCAGGTCTGCAAGGAAGAATTAGGCCCTTTGTTGACAAACATTGGACATCATCTCTTGGAATGGCAATCCCATTGTTCACTCTTGATCACATAATGCTGATACCGTCTCATCCCCAGTCCGTGACTTAAACAGTGCTTCATGATTCTTTATACACTGCAAAAGATCTAGCTTCTTCTACTGTCAGAGAACTGTAAATAGCACATGATTTTTTTTTTATTATGCCCTATGGTATTATTTTCAAGGAAATGTATTCATATGGATACTCCAAGCATAGATTTCTGAGGAAAATGTCTGTATTTTAGCAAGAAGGGTGAGAAACAATGCCAATAGTTCTTCATCAACAGCACCCTAAAATTATCTGTCCCATAGCAGTAAGGACAATATATTTTATTAGACTCCAAGCTTGAGGGTCATCTCAAAGGCATGCCACTTTTCTGCTAGGCTATTATATCAATGTAGCAATATGTGAATTACTATTACTATTGCTACTAGTATAGGTAGTCCTTGATTTACAATCATTCGTTTAATAACCATTCAAAGTTACAATGGCACTGAAAAAAAGTGACTTAGAACTGGTCCTTGAAAACTGGAAGAACATTTCACAAGGACTATTTGAGTGGCTACACAACTTATTTAACATCCCATCACTAATATCACATTAGGGATTAAAAAGAAGTTGAGTTGTACCCCCATTGGATTATTTCTCTTACCCATTTGATTAGCAATGGCGATCCAGTTTCTCACACAAGAGATCTTCCCTATCCCTTATTATCTAATCCTGAAAACAGAATAACAGAGTTGGAAGGGACCTTAGAGGTCCCCTAGTCCAATCCTTGCTCAGGCAGCAGAGCCAGTAGTGGGATTCAGCTGGTTCGCACTGGTTTGGGAAAATTGGTTGTTAAATTACCCACCCACCCTCGCTATCAAAATGGATCCTAGGTGCTGTGCTGCGCTGCAATGGAGAAATGGGCAACGGAGCAGCCGGCGTGAGGGAAGGAGAAGGCCGCTTTCCCTCTTTCTTCTCCTTACTCCTCCTCCTTCCCTTGTGCCAGCCACTCCGTTGCCCATTTCTCCATAGCAGCACAGCGCCCAGGATCCACTTTGATAGCAGGGGTGGGTGTGGTAATTTAACAACTGTTTCGCCCAGGGTCAGGTTGGTTGTTGCAGGAAGTTCATCCCACATGTGGCAGAGCTGGAGGATGGGGATGGGCCACGCCTCCCACAACAGCCAACCTGACCCTGAGCAAACCATTGTTAAATTATTTTAATCCTACCACTGAGGAGGATCCTATATCATTCTAGACAAATGGTTGTCCAATCTCTTCTTAAAAACCTCCAGTGATGGAGCACTCAGGTAATGGAGTGAAACTGCTCCACTGGTTAATTGGTCCCACTGTCAGAAAAAGTCTCGATATTTCTAGCTTGTTCTGTCCTTGATTAGTTTCCATCCATTGTTTAATGATTTAATCTGGTTTTTTATTTTCCAGGTACAGTCACTTTGCCGTCATTAATCACCTATTAGCATTCTCATACTATACAGCTCCTTCTGTATTTTTTTTTTAAGTTTCACTGCTTGGATAAACTGAGGCAAATTTTGTGGGTTGTTATTCCTCTTCCCTTGTCAAGCTGGAAGTTAGTCAGATCTTGGCTTAGGCAGTTGGAATTTTAGCATATTCATAGAAGCCAGCTGCTTACTGAATCATCCTCTGAATACAATATTGTCAGGTTCTAGGCCCATCTGGCTGGAGCAATGTGCAAATTGATTCATTAACATTTTGAGTCTTTTAAGGGAACATAGAAATTCAGGTTCAAGGGAGGAAGTTAGTGGATTTGGTAATTGAACTTTGATCACATGATCATAGGGATTCTGCAAAGGTCACAACTGTGGAAAATGCTCATAAGTCACCTTTTTCACCTTTTTGAATTGTCATAAACTAATGGTTGTAAGTTGTGCCCTACCTCTATGAAGGGAGAGCTGATGTGACAGACTGCAGTACTGCAGCAGGTTCCCAGGAAGGAGGAAGCACATTGCAAGGAGGGAGAAGGGACAACACTGTCCAGAGATGGATCATGGGAAGAGGAAGAGATTGAGTATAGCTACTAGACTCTCAGGGTATATCTGTTGACATGGGATAAAATGTAAAATCCACCTTGTCAATCCATCTCACCTCTGCCATAAACAATCTTCTTCACTTCAGTCAATTTCTCTTTCCTTTCATGATCTATGTTGCAAAAATGAGGACAGTTCTCCCTGCTTGATCTACAACATGGCTGATTTTGTGATGTGGCTGGGTGGCAATACCAGAGTGATAACTGATGAAATTCCGTTTAAACCAGGTGTATCCAACCTTGGCCACTTTAATACATGGACTTCAACTCCCAGAATTCCCCAAACAGCCATCTTGGGTGGGGAATTCAGGGAGCTGAAGTCCACAAGTCTTAAAATTGCCAAGGTTGGACACCCATGGCTTAAACCATGCCATTGAGTAAATATGTTTCCTGAATTGGACAGATAATTAAAACTATAAAAATGCAAATGCTTGTAAGTGCAATACTTGCAGCCACCTACATTCTTAAACAACACATACACACACATCACAGCAAAATGCTTTTTCTGATATCCTGACATGCACAAGTCCCACTTAAAATAGCAAAAAGTAAGACAGGCTTCATGATTCAGAAATAATACATGCAATTCTGCAACCATATGCAGATTGGGTGAATCAGCTAAAACAGACAACTGATTTACATTTTAAATTAAGTTGCTTAGTGTTTAAAATGTTATAGGATGCTCAGTCAGAATAAATTTACTTCATTATCTCTAAAGTGCCATCTAGTAGCACTTTCTATCTCCAGCCTCCACTCATATTATCTACTTCATCTGCAGACCTTCTAGGAGGAAAGCCTTGTTGGTTATGGCAGCCCCAAATCAGAAGGCATTTGAAAAACCCCAACAACTTTTATTAAAAGCAATAAGCTTATCAGGAACTAGCTTGAGTTCAGTGCTACTGGATCCCTTCTGTTTTCTGCATTTCCTACAGATCAGATCAGATCAAATCAAATCAAGAGAGCTGTAGCATGCTGTTCGTCCAATTTCCCTGCCTTTTCCCAGTCTTATTAATAGCTTAGTTACCTGGAGTTGAACTCAGGAAGATTCTGAGGAGATTGGGGGGCCAGCGGTTCTTCCCCTGAAGAAGGTCCTGGAGGGAATCCATCTGGTGGCTCATGCTGAATTCTGCTTGAGTTGGCAACTGGCTGCTTTCTTCTTCCACAAGAAGCAAAGTTTTCCCCAGACACCACCAATCAATGTGAGTAAAACTTAACTTGCTTCAGAAGAATGAAACTGCCAAGAAGGTCCAGGGAGAAAATGATGGGCTCTGCTGGGAACAGATTGCCATAACCACCGCTGTTTGTAAACAAGTGAGAGTCCCAGAGTACACAGGGAGACGCCATCAATTGATACTCAACTGGGAAAGCCTCTGCAGCCAAGATGGATCAGATAAGCCTTATACTGCATGACTGATGCAAGCTTGTGACTGTTTATGCTACAGGAGCATCAGATAATGGCACGACTAGGACTTGATCCCTGGGCATTGGCCCAAGACTCCACAAACAAGTGTGTCTATGTGCCTTCAAGTCAGTGTTCTCTCTCGGCAACTACCTGAAACTTGCTCCCGCAGCTCCTTGGCAAGGCTTTTCAGAAACGGTTTGCCATTGCTTCCTTTCTAGGACTGAGAGACAGCGACTGGCTTAAGGTCACCCAGCTGGCTTTGTGCTAAAACAGGGCTAGAACTCACAATCTCCTATTTCTGACCCAGTGTCATAACAACTATACCACATTGACTCTCCCATAGGCAAAAAGGTCCTAAAATTCAGCGTATTAACAGCGTATTTTAGGTTTCAGGAAAACATTAAGTAATTAGCTTTTTCCTTCTCTTCTAGCATAGGGTTTTCTTTTGGAAAGGAAGGGAAGGTCCATAAATAAAATGCCTAGAAAAATGGGTGGCACAAAGTCTCTTGCCCAGACCCTCTTAGTAGTGCAGTGCCAAGAAGCTTCAACATGGACCCACTGCCAGATAATTCATAACTATCCCTGTAGACTTCATCTTTGTACTACTAAAATTCTCATCACAGGCAAACCGGTGCATCATAGGGGAACAATTTTGAATCAAGGTACCTCAAATGAGCTAATTTACAATAATTCCCCAAAATTACACACCCATAAGCTCTGCGAGAATGAAATGTGGGAAAGGTGTGGCTGTTTCAGTGTTACTGACTGCTGCTGTGGTCACATGATCTTCATTTTCAACATTTTGTTACAGTTTCCCAGTCAGTCTTGCAATCCCTCACTCGCCCCTCCACCTAGCAGCAGCTACTTACCCACTAGAATAGAAAGGAAGATTTTCAATACTCCCTGTCAGATTCCCACATGGAAACTCAATAAGGAAGCTGGCAGGAATTTGGAAGTCACTTCTGTTCCCATTCCTTTTTTGCCCGCCCTTAGTCATTCTGTTTCCCTGTTTAGGTAAGGAAATAGCTCTGAAACAATCACCTAATGGTGCGCAGGTTGTCTAGTCATTTGCTAAAAACCTGATTTCCTTTATAAACTAACTGGATGCTCCCCTGAAGTTGGTGGAAGAGCTGGTAAAAATCATGAGGTTGGGAAGTGACATCACACCCCTGATAAATGAATTAATCACCATTGTTTTTGGAAGTTTTTATTGTATTTCATAAAGAATTACAACATTGGGTTCAAACTTTTATAGGTGGAGAGGATAAGGGTTATTTTTTCACTTTTCGCCATACGTAGAGAATGGAAGGACTGTCCTTGAGGAAGAACCAGGGGTGGGATTCAAATTTTTTAACAACCAGTTCTGTGGGTGTGGCTTAGTTGGTGGGCGTGGCTTGGTGATCATGTGACTGGCTGGGCGTGGCGAACTCAATATCACTCACATCGAGGCACGCATCTCCTCGCCTGGCCTCTCATGACTGTGGGGATGCTGCAACAGTCGTAAGTGTGAAAAACGATCATAAGTCACTGTTTTCAGTGCCATTGTAACTTTGAATGGTCACTCCACACAAGCAAAGTACCAGCAAAGGAGGGGGAAAAAACTCCAGAGGAGTTCCTGAGACAGGAAGTCTCATCCTGCCAAGAATGTAATAAGGGTTAACGGAGAGGCAGTTTCTGTAAGCAACACCAGAATGTTTCCTTCCTGCCTTCCTTACAGGATTAGGCCAGTAATTTCTTCTAACAACCGGTTCTCTGAACTGCTTAGAATGTTAATAACTGGTTCTAGAAAATAGGTGCGAACTGGTAGAATCCCACCCCAGGAAGAACCGCTACCAAGTAAGAAGAGATTGGATAACCATTTGTCTGAAATGGTACGGGGTTTCCTGCCTGACCAGGTGGTTGGATTAGAAGACCTCTAAGGTTCCTTTGAATTCTGCCATTCTGTTATACTGTTAACAGTCAGATAAGTGGGGTTTGAGCCTAGACCAAGAAAATAACTTGAGAAAATGTCTCAGGGAAACCCCTCCCTAGGGAACGTTAAATGAGGGATGAGGAGGCACATTCAGACTTGCAAGATTCTATTATTACAGATAATCCTCAATTTATGACTCTCATGGAGCCTGGAATTTCTGTTACAACTCAGCATGATTGTAAGTCAATGCACTCATGTGACTGGACCTGACTTTACGGCTTTTTTTTTGTAGTGGTCATTAAGGGAATGCCACAGTTGTTAAGTGAATCAATGTATTCCTAAGGGCATTTTTGCTGGAAACTGGCCCCAAAAGCCAGAAATCAGTAAAAAACCATCTTAATTCACATGGAATCTCATGACTGTGGAATGCTACAGTTGGCCATAAAGGCGAGCTGACTGCCAAGCACGCAAAATATGGTCATGTGACAGTTCAGCCCTCAGAACCAGGACATAAGTAGCTTTTGGGATGTCCATTGTAACTTTGAATGGTTGATAAGCAATCAGACATAAGATGAGACTACCTGTAGCATCTATCTTTACAATAAAAATAGTCTTGACTATGTGGCATTGGTTTCTTAGTTTGGTCTACCTAGAATGGCTGACCCATTTCACAGTATTTTCCTCATAATCTGTGTTTGTTGGATGTTGAAAGACAATGTGTGTACACCGAGAATATGGTTCCCTTTGGAGTCAGGCACTCTGAACCTCCATGAACAGGCTGCTTGTTTCTTCAGTCCATATAAACCACGATATAATAATCACAATTATTTCAAACCCAGACTGTGAATTTGGGATGAAAAAAAAAAAACTCTTCCTGCAACTGATATCTAAAAAGTTTATGTTTATAGCAGACTTTTCCAATCAGCTGGCCTTCAAGTATATTGGAACTGTAAGCCCTAGAATTCTGAGGCAATGTGAGAATGATGGCCTTTTCAGTATCCAGTTTCATGCATCCCAAGGTTCAGGAAAGCTGATTTACAGCCAACTTCCATCCCTTGCTGCCTTCTTTCTCACTTCTCAGGGTACCTCTGTGTCATCCTTCTCTTCCTCTTGGTACTTTTGCGCTTCTGGATGATGAAATCAATCTGGTAAATGAGCATCACCGCCAAAAGAAAGATAACAACCTAGAAGGAAACAGAAAATTCAGCAATATAGCCCAAGAAAGGGATGTAAAGACTTTAATATTGCATAGAAGTGGCACGTTTGGGGGTTCCTCTAATTTTTTGCTTCCACAGGGAGAAGGCTGAGGAAGACAAATGTCACAGGCACTCATATCTGACACTGGGACATAAGTACAAAAGGGTGAATTTGTGAGGTCACCATGCACAAGTCATCACTGTAACTTTGGACACAGAATAACAGATATTGGCAGTGGTTTGAGCTCCATGTTTGTTTCAATTTAGTTTCTGAACATTTCGTTACCAGACCAGGTAACATCATCAGCAGGATTTTCTTATCCTATTCCTCTTTAACTTATAAATGTCTTGTGTGCCAATGTGGTCAGTTGGTCGTGTGATTGGTTGTTCGTTTGGAGCTATATTTAAATTCTGAGCAGCTGATTTGTTCTTTTATCTGTTAGTCATTCAAATGGTCTGATTTCTTATGTGTGATTTCTTATGTTTTTATATGCTGGGTCTACAGTAGATCAATATGCTTGTTAATTGCTCCTTTGGTAGAATAAATTTGGCTTCAATAAATTCACGTCCATGGCAAGTGTTGGCATAGCCAATTATTTTTGTTCCTTCCCAATCAAACTGATGGTGTTTATTATCAATGTGGTTGAGGTCAAGGATTTTTAATAACAGAGTTGGAAGGGACCGTGGAGGTCTTATAGTCCAACCTCTGCTCAGGTAGGAAGCTGTCTACCATTTCACACAAATGGCTCTCCAATTTCTTTTTTAAAACCTCCACTGTTGGAGCACCCTCTACTTCTGGAGGCAAGTGGTTCCACTGATTAATTGTTCTCACGGTCAAGAAATTTCTCCTTCGTTCTAGGTTGGTTCTCTCTTTGATTAATTTCCATCCATTGAGTTTAGGGGTTCTTCTGAGCTGATTAAATTATCCAAATCCTCCCACTCTTACTCCAGGCTCATCTGACTTCCTCCAGCCCTGGTGCCTCACCTCCAAGACCAGCAATCCACATGCCAGCCCAGCCATCAGCAACAGGTTGCTCCGTCCCCAATGGACAATCTTCTCTAGGCAGCCCTCTGTGTACACCAAATTCTCTGCTTGCCAGCCTTTAAGATTCTGTGTCCCATAGCCACACATGGTGTTTAGCATAACCTAGAATAAGTTGAGAACATGAAGAGAAGTCAAATGCAGGATCATGCAAATGAGGGCCCATCGTCTTTAAGTGCGATTGACCATTGGCAAGATATCAAAAAAGCATATATGAGATTTTGGCTCTTCTTTGTTAGCTCTTTAGCATCCAATACTGAAAAGTAAATTACTGTACCTCCTTAAATGAGGGAGGAGTCACTTTTTTTCATTGCTATTGTCACTTTGAATAGTCACTAAGTGAATAGTTGTAAGTCAAGGACTAACTGTATCAGAAAAGGTGTGGGAAGAAGGGGGTTTACCACCATAGACTGTCACAGCTCCACTCCTACAATCTCTACATATGGTGCTCCAGCAAGTCATTCGAGCTGCTAGCTATGAAGAACAAAACAGCAGTCTTGCTTCATAATATTAGGACAGAGTAAAAAAAAATTAACCCTGCTTATCATCCCCCAAATTTTGGAAAACTTTATGATAAAATTATCCACATAAATTTGCATCAGGAACATCAGTGGCAAAAGCCAGTGATAAGTTCTAATCAAGCTGCTAGACCTCTGAGAGAGTAGAATAACATTTCTGCCCACCTGTAATGCTTCCTCAAATTGTAGATTTGTGAATAAAAGCTAATTATTGTAGTGGTGCTTTGTAAAATTGGAGGGTGCTCTCTTTTCAAAATAAACAACAAAAGGTCCACATTAGCTTTGTAAATCTTTGTTTGAAGTTAATTCTTGTAATCTGCGGTGACTTTTCAGAGGTTGGAGTTCTAGACACTGATTTGTTAAAATGCTTACTTTTTAATAAAACCGTCTCCTTGGCTTCTGGATAGCAGCATCTGCATTTATAGAAATCAATGGCCTAAATAAATACTTAGAATTTTATACTATAGTGTATCCCCAGTCTTATTGCCATAGTAACTTAAAGTACTGTACATCCTCCCACTTACCACAGACACGAACCTGTTTGAATTTCACTTTCCGATTTCCCTTTTCTCTTACCTCTTTATCTTGCAGACAGCAAGAGAAGGGCACTGCACAACGCTCCAGGCTGGGATTAGAGTCTCGACAGTCAAAATAAATATTCTGGGACCAGTCCTTGTATGAGTGAACCCCACAGCACTTGAACTGGGAAGGAAAGGGAAACAAAACCAAATGCCAAGGAAAGTAATTGGATGTATGAAACCATAGAGAAACACCCTACAAGGACAGCCTGCTTCAGCAGCTTATGGGTGAAGTTGAATAGAGAATAATAATAATAACAATAATAATAATAATAATAACAATAATAATAACAACAACAACAACATTGTAGATTTTAAGAAGATACTTGGTTGATACCTAGGATCCTGGCAGCAACCCGTACCATCAGTGCCAGTCAATGATATTTGTGATACATTTTTAAATGTTCAGTTGACCGAGTTTCATGTTTAATAATAATGCAAAAAAGTCTGGATGCTGGACATGACATGCAGAACAGAAGAGAAAGAACTGGAGAAGATCACAAAATACAAAGACCTGCAAAAACAGAGTTCGGATGACTGGTCAAAGGAAACAAAGGTAGCACCAAGAGTAATAGGCACCTTGGGTGCAATCCCAGAACATCTGGAGCGCTACTTGAACACCATCAGCATTGACAAAATCACCATCAGACAATTGAAAAAGATAGTTTTCCTGGGAATAGCGTGAATATTGTGCCATAGGTACTTTTTCAAGAGGCAACTGGACTTTGCCTCTTTATGGAAGAACCATGGGACTACCATGACCTGGATTGGGTGACTGAGAATCTCAACAGACATTTAGTGTTAATATTATAAAACAACAACATCTGCCTATCTGAGGTCCTTGGAAAGGAGTCAATAGGTAGACAAAAATGCCAAATCAAGTCTTAACATCTGGCTGACTGTACGACTGACCATAATATTAATAATCTTGCTCTGCCTTCTGTCTATGGAGTATCTGCTCTAGGGAGACCAAAACACATCTCAATTTAACCTAGAGAACACTTCTTTTCAGTTATATGCATATTTAGCATACATGTTTAATACCGTAGTAGTGTAGCTCTTCCATAAAAAGCTGGAGGCAAAATTAAAATGGTATTCCACATGGCAATTGGATATAGTACTCTTGTTGTTTGGAAATGTCCACCACCGTAGATAAGATCCTATAAGAAATTTGATTCACAAATATTCCATTCCAAAATGATCTCCCATAAAATGAATTAATAACTTCTTGTTGTTGGTTCTGCTCTTTTACGCTGCCCTTTTCAGCATCTCACCAAGGTTATTAGTGCCAATAAAGGAGACTATTTGTAGCTCAGGGTTGAAATGAGGCGCTCTCTCAGCTTGCTTGTTTACAAGGCCATTCCCACCCACACAGGTATGCATGGAATGGTCTCTGGTCATAGCAACAAACTGCCCCATCAGATCCCCCCCCCCCCCCCGCACTTCTTACGGCAACTTGAGAGCAAGCCAGGAATGCTTTACGAGTTGACATTAGCAAATCACCAGAATCGGTGAGGGAATTCAATTTTTTTTACTACTGGTTCTGTGGGCGTGGCTAGATGGGTGTGGCTGGGCGGGCATGGCCATGTGATTGGGTGGGTGTGGCTTTTTTGTTGCAGCATCACCCCCACCCCGTTTTTGGGGCCTTCCTGGACTCAGAGGAGCCTCTGGGGGAACGTTTTTGCTCCCAGAAGGCTCCCCTGGCGCTCAGGAAGAAAAAAAAATGGAGCATAGGAGGGGCACATAGCACCCCCCTCATGCTCCGTTTTGGGGCCTTCCTGGCCTCAGAGGAGCCTCTGAGGGGGCGTTTTTGCTCCCAGGAAGCTTCCCTGGGGCCCAGGAAAGTGAAAAATAGAGGGGGCTGTGCCCCCTCCCTCCATTTTTTGCCTTCCTGGGCCTCAGGGAAGCCTCCTGGGTGAAGCAGTAAGGAGCGAGAGGATTGTCGGGAGGTTAAAAAAGAAAGAAAGAAATACCTCAAGGAGTGACTGGGTGGGTGAGCATCAGGCAGACAGAGTGAGCGAGCATCAGGCATCGGGTGGACAGGGCAAGTGAGCGAGTGGTGACCGAGCAACCAGGTTGGGGACGTGGCCAGCCAGAAGTTACTACTGGTTCGGTGACCCTTGCCAAATCCTTGCTACCGGGTCGCTTGAACCAGTGCAAACCAGCTGAATACCACCACTTACCAGAATATAAACTGACAGCAAACAGGACTCCTTTCTAGCACTGATGATGTTACCTAGTTAATGAAACGTTTGCAAGAGAACAAGCAAGCTCAGAGAGCACCAAGGACCCCTTCAAGGTTATTAGTTCCTGGAAGGGCTTCTTAATGGTGCTTTAAATAAATTCCAGTGCTGTTGAACTCAAAATGAATCAATAAAAGGATTGGGTGTGTCAGTAGCAGGGATTGTAGCCCCTTCAAAGTTTTGATGGTCTTTTTGTTAAGTTATACAGCACAGGCAGGTGCTGCAATTTAGCGTTGTATTTAAAGAAATCACAGATTTGGACTAGAACAAAAGAATAACACAGAAAACACAGGGCAATGCCTAGCAACAATAGCTGGATCTTTTTAAAAACAATTCCAAATTAGTAGAAATAGTCCTTGACTTACAACTATTTCTTTAGTAACTGGTCGAAGTGATGGCACTGAAAAAAGAGACTTATGACCACTGCAGCATTCCCATGACTACATGATCAACATTTGGGGGCTTCACAACTGAGATCTATTTACAATGTGGTTGCATTATCCCAAGGTCAAATGATTGCCATTTGTGACCTTCCCAGTTGGTAAACTCAACAGGAGAAGCCAACTTTCATTCAGCAATTGTGTGACTCATTTAACAATTGCCATGATTTGCTTAAATTTGCAAAAAACGGTTGTAAAATCAGCCAAAACTCACTTAACAGCCATCTTGCTTAGCAATGGAAATTCTGGTCATAAGTCGAGGACTACCTATGGACCAGTTTTGCAGACCAAATAATTGTTCTTGCTCTATGAAATGTGAAAGAACCTCAATGCTTCTATACAGAGCCTCTAGAAGGCAAAGTATTAAGACTCTAGAAACAGAACTTCTACATAATATTGGAACCCAGGCAATTTCAGAACCTGTTACCTTCTTCTGGATGTAATCAATGAGGTTCTGCAAATCAAGGTTGTCACGATAGTGGGAGATGGCCTCGCCCATCAAAAACGTGGCTTTTTCCATCACCTAGGAGACAAAAATGGAGCAATTTGGCAGATCGAATTTCACCAGGTTCAAGGTTGACTCAGCCTTCCATCCTTCCGAGATTGGTAAAATGAGGACTCAGATTGTTGGGGGCAATAGGTTGACTCCGTAAACCACTTAAAGAGGGCTGTAAAACACTATGAGGCAGTTTATAAGTCTAAGTGCTATTGCTATAAATCAAAGAGTTGTAGAGTTGGAAGAGATTACTG